TTCCTGCTGCCTACAATGAAATTTCTAGGTATGAGAAGACTAGTGTTGGCCGAATATAAAAAAGTATCAAAGATGACTCCTCTTCATTCTCAGCTGAGTGCTTCAGGGAAATAAGTGGAGACAGAAACATGAGCTTCCTCTGCCTACAGGTAAGGATGCTAAGTAGGCATAGACACATACATATAATGCATGGAATCATAGAATTATTAAAGTTGGAAAAAACCTCTAAGTTCATTAAGTCCAACCATCAACTAGCACCACCATGACTGCTAAACCATGTCCTGAAGTGCTGCATCTACATATTTTTTGAACGTCTTCAGTGTTGCAGACTCCACCACTTCCCTGAGCAGCCTGTTCCAGTGCTTGACTGCTCTTTCAGTAAAGAATTTTTTTTAATATACAAGGTAACCCTCCCCTGGTGCAATTGGAGGCCTTTTCCTCTCATCCTATCACCAGTTATGTGGGAGAAGAGACCCACACCCACCTCTCTACAACCTTCTTTCAGGTAGCTGTAGAAAACAATAAAGTCTTCCCTCGGCCTCATTTTCTCCAGACTAAACAACCCCAGCTCCCTCAGCTGCTCCTCGTAAGACTTGTGCTTCACCAGCACAAGTTGCCCTTCTCTGGACACGCTCCAGTATCTCAATGTCTTTCTTGTAGTGAGGGGCCCAAAACTGAACACAGTATTCGAGGTGTGGCCTCACCAATGCTGAGTACAGAGGAAGGATCATTTCCCTGCTCCCCACACTAATCCTGATGCAGGCCAGGATGCTGTTGGCCTTCTTGGCCACATGGGCACACTGCTGGCTCATGTTCAGCATATGTATATACAACATAAATAAAATTCCAGAATCGCATATTAAATTATTTTAATAACAGATTCCATTAATAACTACATAGAAAGAAAAATAGCATTTATAAAAAGGATAATTTTGCTTCAAGATGTTCCAGTATAAAGAGCTAGAAACTTTGCACCAGTCCTATACATTAGCAGTCCAGAAACTCCTTCTGCACAAAGTTAACCCGGACCTGAAGACAGAGTTTTAAGGCCTGGGTTAATAACCTACCTAAACCCAGCGTGACTCACTACCTTACGCACCCCGCTGCCCAGG